CAGTGCTAGGAATACTCAGACTTAAGGCATGCAGAAATTTAACATACAAATTTATATCGAATTCATCACCATACCGTACTGAAGCTGTTACTTTTTCTTCACTTTGAATGATATCTCAAAAATATACAAAAGAAGATAGTTAGCATTAACTTATAGGAACTTGATAACACAATATACGACATCCACTCTTAATATCATATGCACAACACAAATAACAACTAACTACAGAGGCATGGTAGAAATATAACGTGCAAAACTCTGTCATTAAACCAAGGGCTATATCAAACTGCAAACGCAAGGATGCATGGTATTGGTACCTCAATTTACCGATGTGTCCAGCCAAGCGAAGACCAATAGATCGAACTCTTCGGCTTTTGAGAAACAGCAGCGCATAAACTCCCTATTGAACAATAGGAAATGAAGAGAAGACATTAAGAAGGATTGGATTATAAAAACAGAGTGCCAATATCAAAGAGAAGAATCTACAGAGCCAGGGAAGATGATATTTTCTAGGTCATACCGGGTATTGTTGATGTCCATCTAATGTCAATTCATGAGAATTATCAACTGCTTCAATAAAAATTTGAAACTCCGTGGCCAAGGAGAGGTCATCCAACAGGATGGGAAACGTCAATACCTTTGTTGAATTAAAAAATAAATAAAATCAGTATATGAGGCCATATATACAATGAGGAAAGTTGTGAAACCCAATCTACTCAGCAAGAGTAATGTCAGGAATTTTCCATGTTTTATGGCTTAAATATAGAGATACTTGTGCGTGAAATGCTCAAGTTTGGAGAAAAATATAACTTCTCAGTCTTCTCCACAGAATTATATTGATCCCTCATATCATGCAGCAGCTTTATTTAGACATTGATTCAGATACTTGAATTGATAGACCTCCGGAGCTTAGTCTATATCTATACGCAAACCGCAGGTGAATCACACGCACAAAAAAGATAATAACAATAATTTAAAAAAAAAAAAAAATGAGATTGCAACAGATGATAGCGCTGATAAACTTCATATGGGACACTGGCCATCGGCGCCACTCTTAAAACATATACTTACAGCCACATTTTAACTTGTTCACCATAGTACCAGGAATTATAACATAAGACAAATGCTTGCTATTTACAAAAATCAAAAGGAAGCAATAGACTTATATTGAATGTCCCGAGCTTATCATTAGAGCTAAGAACCCCGCACTTAGGGGAACATTTCTATACAATACTCACATCAGCTAGTCACAATCTAATTATGATCTACCAAGCTGGTATTGACTAGTTTATGTATGATCGTAAGACCAGGCAACCTTCATCATAATTTTTTTCTCTCTCGAAGGCGTCCAGATGAATTTAGATATGTTTGTTTTGTCATATATAAAGATTTTCATATCTAGTGAAATTCCGTTGGCCTTTCCTCAGTACAATGCAGTGCAATTTCCATCTGAAGTTCAGCAGCTTCTTACGGAATTTATGCAACTTTACTTTGCCAAAGTTGATTTCTGTCTGTTTTAGGTGTAGTTTGTTGTTACAATACAATATCTCTCAAGTAATAAAAAAACCACCCTCTTGCTTGCAACATAAACATGTTATCGATAATATTTTCCATTAAAGAAGTAATCCTCAGGAGCTGCCACATCAGAATATATAGCAGCATTCACATTAGTCAGACCAACTCTAACAGGGACGGTCATATGAACCAAATTACCCCTATACGAAAAAAAGGCAAACCCAAAGTTAAGTGTGGGAATATATACCTCAAACATAACACTAACAACTTCTCCATAATCACGATCTGTATCGTACTCCCCTCTCGCTATCTTAGCATTAAGATCCACGAGGTGCAGGCTTATGCGTTCTTCATCGAGCACGCGCAGCACATCCAGCAGAGGACTAATACAGCTCTGCTCGTACTCCGTCGCGTACATCTCCTGCGCCTGGTGGTGCTGGTGAATGCACAGCGAGCAGCTCCTCATCTCCTCTGAAATTCTACTCCACAATAGCTTGAGAGGAGAATCGCGGCCTTCGTCCTTGAAATAGTTGTAGAATGTCTCCAATAGAGGTCCCATAAGGTCCCAATAGCCGCACCAAGCGTGGGTTTCTTTCGGTAGATATGTCAGGAAGCTGAAGGCGTCCGAAAACCACCGCTCTTTCAGCTGGCGGAGGCGGCGGCGCTTGACGGGGTGGGAATTCGAAACGGCGTCGTCTCCGTCGTCTTCCTGCTCGATGACGCCCCATCGCTCGAGTAGCTCTTTTCTGGTGACGTCATTCTTCGCCATGGCCGGCTGAACGATTAGGGTTTGGGGGAGGTCGCGAGTGATGGGAAAATGGAGCGATCAACGCAAAGCACTGCTGCGCTTCGTGTCGGGGATACGGGAAACGAACTTTTGGGCCAAATTTTTATTTTTTTCATTTCCCTCGCAATTAGTTTTTGTTTCTTTTCGTATATTTAATTTTTTTTCATTATTAATCTTTAGTATTTTAAAGTTGTTATATTATATTTTACTCAAAATTACAGCAATTCAATAATTTCTCCTGAAATTTTAAAGACTAAATTATAACAAAAAAAAGGCTAATTAATCAATTATCATTATTTAAATTGAAAAATAATATTAACTTCAATACTTTGAAATTATTATGAACTAGCCAATTTTGATGTCATTTTATGACAATGAAACCAACCAGCAAAAATTTTTATGATAATTGATAAACCAACTAATAAAATTAGTTAACTTCGTGAAGGTAAATGAATTGATGAGCAAAATAAATATCACCATGAATCGGGATCTTGGTGCATATCATTTTCCAATAAATATTTCAATGGTAGTCATTTGGTTAAGATAAATATTAAACACAAAAAAAAAAAAATCAATTAACTATATCTCTTATCATAGAACAAGTAAAAATATATTGCATTTAGATTGAAAATAGTATGTACAAGTAGAAATAAATAATGAGAAAAATATAATAAGTATAACATGATTAGAAAAATATAATTCATCTTGTTGTTTGAGTTTTAGATTTAAGAGCTTTTGGATTGAGCTCTGATTTAATCATTGAATTGGGTGATTGAATTGTGTGGTACTGTGGTAGTTTTGATGATTTCTCATGTTTTGCCAAGTGATGTCAAAGGTTCACGGTACATGATAATGACTTGTAATGACGGATGTTTATTGAAAGAGGTGAGACTTTTTTTCTAAATATAGTTTTAGTTTGCATTTTACATTTGTGTTTGTTTTTTTTATAATTTTATTCTGTAGTCTCAATGCATATTGTAATTTTGCGTTTAATGTTTATTTTATTTTAACTAACTCAGTCGTATGTGTAATCTTAATTAGAGAATTTATTATAAATTTATTCTATTAATAATAGTTATTTGAAGCTTGATTGTAAAAAATAAAGGCAATCATAATAAAAAAAGTGGGGCATAAATCATTTTCAACTTATATTATACGCGTTTTTTTAACTTTGCAATTCAAAGTTCTTTTGTTGTAAATCGGTAAAATATAAAATCTACGTATCACACCTTTCGGCCACTAAGATTATATAAATCATCGAAAAGTTTTATTTGTTTAAACTTCTTTTTGCTTTGAAAGATATTTCAGAAGGAAATAAGATATGAGATAAAAAAGGGGGCAAACTTGAAAACCGTCATAAAACTTGAGAAAACGTTGAATGGGACGCTATAAATTTTGAAAAATCGTTGAAACCCTTTCAAAAATTACTTCGACCTTACTGTTTTCATGGCTTATCTACTCACCATCTTACTTACTAGGAGATTCTATAATATGTCAAAGTTCCACTACCAACAGTCACCTCCACCACCACCGTTGCACATGTATAGATGGCTCAACTTTTAGAGACCTTGACAAGCGTCAATAGTCAAAGAGCATTTTTATTTATAGAAGAGATGTAAAGATGATTTGTTTTAGAGAACAATGCATAAATGACTTGTTTTAGATAATATAATCCAGAAGGCAAAAGTATTAGCTTGCTGACAAACAAGCAACTTAAGTCCCAAAACAACATTGACGACATGTTATCTCCAGAGAACATGATTAAACACCGATCACATAAAGGATGATTCGGATGACAAGCGAAAATAATACTTACGCAACAGTAACCTCACCAACCGTGGTCATTTGCCGACGACACTGTATAGGTGCTGTTGCAACTCATGCCAAGATTGAATTACACGGGAAACTTGAATATTCAAGATGACGACAATAGGGCAGATCCGTTGCAGTTCATGTCAATTTTGACACATCAAGGACAACACTCCACTGCCATATCAACATTCAGATGATTACTTAGAGAAGACAATTCACAAGGCAAAGGCACTAGCTCGTCGTCAAACAAGCAACTTAAGACCCAAAACAACATTGACAGTGTGTTATCTCCGGAAAACATGATTAGAGACACCCATCACGTATTGGATGCTTCCAATGACAAGCGTAAATATAGCACATGCAACGATAACCCCGCCAAAGGAATTCTAGATGAGGTCATTTGCCGGCGACACTATGTAGGTGCCACTGCAACTCATGCCAAAATTAAATTACTCGGGAAATTTGAATTTTCAAGAAGACGATAATAGGGGAAACCCGTTGCAGCTCATGTCAATTTTGACACATCAAGAGCAACCCTCCACCGCCATATAAGCATTGGGGCTTCACTGTGACAGACATAATCCAATATAAGGATGGATTATGACATACGAAGTAGGAAGTAGGTAGAGATATTTTTAGCGATTGTCTGAAGTATTTTTTAGGTTTTTTATAATTTTTCTAAGTTTTCCAACATTTTTTTTTTAATTTTCAGACGGTTTATAATTTTGGCGTAAAATAATTTTTGTATTCCATCTTGTCATTTACAACAATTTTTTTTCTGTATTAAATACTGAAATAATTATTTGCCCAAAAAAATAAATAAAAAAAATTAAAAGTGCAAAAGAGAAAACCCTAGTGAATTGAAGTCCTACGAGTACCCCTTGACCTCGTCTATCCCTTTTCTAGGCAACTTTTTCCCCACTTCTAGTTGCAGCAAAACAACAAGAACCCACATAAATATCTCCCATTCTCTCTTTCTTGGTGGTAACGGTGCCGTGGCTGGTTCTCCGGACGCCTCACATTAACTCGCAGATGGTCCAAAAGACTCCGGCCGAGCCGCAGCCCCACCACCAGGCACGTCTCTTTTCCGCACCTTATCTCTGTTCACCGTCTCCTTCTTTTCTGGATTATAACACTTCATTTTGCATTCGAATTCGTGTCCTTTTGCCGTTTTCTTTCACTGTTTTCAATCTGTAATGGCGATCGAATCTGAATCGCAGAAAAAGAACACATTTTGTGTAATGGGAGATATTTGTGGAGCGCTTATGGCGCCCAAAGAGGAGCTGCGACTCCAGCTTCAGCTGAATAATCCTCTTTCCAATGGGAAGTCCTCTCCTTTCGATCTGGTCGTTCGTGTTCCCGATGTCGGACGAGCAATTCAGGTCCCGAATTTATATTGCTGTGCATTTTAATTTGATTATCGTGTTCGATTATCCGGTTCAGATAACCTCCGTGCTTTGAAATTAAAGTTTTTTTTTTTTTTTTTTTNGTTTATAGCATTTTAGTTTTTCACTACACATAGAGCTATATGTTGTGGAACCTTCACTGTTTGAATTGTACTCATACATGTACGGTAGCTGAATAATTGATGTTATTGTTCATCTGCTTCAGTCGTATACTTTTCTTGGTTCAATTATCCGGTTCAGATAACCTCTGTTCCTTAAAATTAGATATTTAGTTAGCATTTTAGTTTTCACTACTTCTTAGCAGTATATGTTGTGGAACTTCTACTGTTTCAATTGAGCTCACAGACATGTACTGTAAACCAATAATTGATATTATTATTTATTTGCTTCGGTCGTATACTTTATTTTGCTGGGTCGATTTCAATGGATTATGGATCTCTAAAAATTTTATGGAGTGGAATAAAAATGTTTGTTTTTATCGCCATTGGTAGTGACAGCTCTGGCTTGAACATTTGGGTCAATTAAGAAAATTAAATTCATTTTACCATGCTTCAGGATTTGATGAGGACTAGAGAAGTTGGTGAGTTCCTTAGTGGGGCTTTGGCCGGGGCTATGACCAAAGCCATTCTTGCCCCTCTTGAAACTATCAGGTGGGTTGCTTTCGATTGTTTTGCATAAACCTATAAAATTGGTTGCCTTTTCTTTTTTTCTTTTTTATCATTCATTTTCTTTCTCTCTTCATCTCGTTTCCCTTTTTTTAAAAAAAAAAAAAGAATTGGAGATATCCATCACATAATTCTGGTACTCGATTAGCATACATTGTATCACACATTATATTCAAGATTTAAAAAATAAATAAATAAAAATAAATAAAATCCATACTTTGTCTCTTGTTGTGAACCAGATATTACGTATACAGGATAGTATTACATGTATAAGATGCTCTCAGTAATATTAATACTACAACAACAACAACATACCCAGTATATTTCCAACAGGTTGGGGTCTGGGGGGTCAGTTGTACGCAGACCTTACCCTTGTAATTATACAAGGAGGTTGTTTCTGTAGCGACCCAAGGTGCATTGCACCGTTTGATATATATATATATTTTTTTCTAGAAACTTCACTAATAGAAGAAGCACTAGAATTTAATTGAGTCATTTTGATCTAGTCCATTATTAGCACTTTGCCAGGAGAATTGTTAACAATGACTCTTCCAGCTCCATTTGCAATGGACAAACTCTCGGTAATATTAATATTGTAACTTTATTACGTATACAGGATAGTATTATTGAACTAAAAGTGTAAAACTACTTTGTACTTGGTTGGCCAAAGAATCCTATTATGGTTTACGATGCATATCAAGTGATGGACATTTGACAAACAGTCTTCTTTCGGTGGTCTTTTATAATCATTTTAAACTTGCAGGACAAGAATGGTGGTTGGTGTCGGGTCTAAAAACATATATGGAAGTTTCGTTCAGATCATCGAACAACAAGGTTGGCAAGGACTCTGGGCTGGTAATGCAATAAACATGCTGAGGATAGTTCCCACACAGGCGATTGAGCTCGGAACATTTGAATATGTGAAGCGAGCAATGACTTCAGCCCAAGAGAAATGGAAATCAACTGAAAACCCGAGACTTAACATTGGAAATCTCAGTCTAAGTTTTTCCCTGTCCTGGTTGTCTCCAGTTGCCGTGGCTGGTGCGGCTGCTGGAATTGTCAGCACTCTCGCCTGTCATCCTCTCGAAGTTTTAAAGGTATGTTCATGGGTTTTTTGCCTCTTAAGGGGAAAAAGTAAGAGGTAGATTTGGGCTGTGTTTGGTAACCATATAAGCTAGCTTATAACTTATTTGATTAGCTTATAAGCTTCTAGGACGAGCTTTTTTGAAAAGCTCCAGCTTATCTCATAAGCTTCCTTGGGTAGCTTTTCAAATAAGCCAATTGAAATTTATATTTCAGCTAGCTTAATTTTACCAAACACTTTTATCATAATATAAGCTATAGCTTTTCAACCATATAAGTCGTAACCTATCAGCTATAAGCTCAAAATTCACTTAAAAGCTATAAGCTAGCTAAGCTAGGTTGGTTTTGATGTTTTCTTTCTTTGTCTCTCATTGTTTTTCCCATTTAGTTAATCAAATTGCTATTGGTTCTTTATCTTACACAGGACAGATTGACAGTCAGTCCCGACATATATCCGAATCTAAGCATCGCAATACGCAACATGTGCAAGGATGGTGGTATTGGCGCCTTCTATTCCGGGATCTCCCCAACTCTAATTGGCATGCTTCCATACAGCACATGTTACTACTTCATGTACGAAACAATGAAGAAATCATACTGCACGGCCAAGAAAAAGGAATCTTTAAGTCGTGTAGAGATGCTCTTGATTGGTGCCCTTTCCGGTAAAAGTCATGGTTTCAGCTGTTATTTTTATTTCACTTTTTACCTATCCCTGCTTTCTATTCTGCTAGTATGCCAGAAATTCAGCTGGGGTCAATTTTAAAAGAAACAAAAGGCAAAGCTTTCGTCAACGGAGCAAAAAATCAACTTTTTTTTTATTCCATTTTGCCAATATTAGGGTTCTGATTTTAATTTTTATTTTTTTTAAGGGTTGACAGCTAGCACAATCAGTTACCCTCTTGAGGTAGCTAGGAAAAGGCTGATGGTGGGGGCTCTCCAAGGGAAGTGCCCGCCCCACATGGCGGCAGCTCTCTCAGAAGTATTCAGAAAGGAGGGCCCGACGGGCCTTTACAGGGGCTGGGCCGCTAGTTGCCTCAAGGTCATGCCTTCATCCGGCATCACATGGATGTTTTACGAAGCTTGGAAGGACATATTGCTTGCCGAAAAACGACCTGCTTCGAAGCTTTCTTGAGGGCTAAGACAGGTCCCGGTAAAATCTTTTACTTGCTCCGGCCTCTGGGCCTTGGTCGGGCCCGCGCAGAAGCAACAGAAATTGAGATCAAATTTTGGGGCTTGGTGGGTCCCGCATTTTTTTTTTCTTTTTTTTTTTTCTTTTTTTTTTGGGACTGCACAAACTGGTAGAGGGACATTTGTACTGATGAAGTAGTGTTGGTGCCAATTTTAAATGTTAAGCCAACCGGATTTTTTGTCCGAATATGAGGTGAGGCCACACCTAAATGCCAGACATTGCTTAATGGCTCGTTTACTTTGTTTGTAGAAAGCAAGTTTTTACTCCATGAAGCTAAATTCTACAGAGTAACCTTTCCCTTTAGGTTCCTGCTGGCTGCTGCTAATCTCTAAGAATTTTCTGGACATATAATTTGCGAATTGGTCCTTAAATCATTCCTCACAAGCATCACAATCTGATTAATTATGTAGGATTTTGCAGTGAACAAAAGATGATAGCACAAAACTGCCTCCAAATAAAGCACAGGTGACTAATTTGCCTTTCACTACTTCCATTAGCCAATTTTCTCAACTTGGATAACAATAGGATTACATCATGCATGCATGCATACACACACATAGCAAATTAAAAATTTAGCAAAATAAAATTCTACTGTTCCAGCCTGAAGTTCAAACTACATCTGGCATTCAGAAAGATAAAGAAAAAAGAAAAAAAAAAGAACTAAACAAGATGTGCACTCCACTGGTGAATGCACACAAATTAGTCATCAGATATCCAGAAAAGGATCCAATTCTTGCAGAGTACAAATCAAAGTCAGTACCATTTTCCAAAACTGCTATCAAGGGAAAAGGATCGGGGATGGGTCTCTCAGCAACTTGCCATTGTTTAAACACAGCTTTTTCATCTTCTCCTCACACCATAACAGCTGTTCTTTGCTAATCCTCGACATTCTCAAAACCCTCGACAGCAATTTGATGTCGACTAGCGCAAGCAACATCTCCACATCCTCGGCTGTAGTTGGCCACGATTTCTTTTTATAGCTCTTGCTCTTCTTCCAAAGTTCTTTCAGTTTCACCTCTTTCTGTAGTTTCAACATTTGATTAATTAAAAGCAAGTAGCAAAGTAGTGCTTAATATCATATTCTTTTCTCTTTTCAGTTTCATCCCTTTCAGCAGGACTCAATAATCCAACTTTTTTAGGGTTCTTATTTTAGTTTCTTTAGTTTTTCCTAGAGTTGAGTTCTTCAGGGGTTTTTAGCTTTTTTTTTTGGTTAATTAAGAAAACGAAATAAGAGCTTGGTTCGACATGAAACCGCTTTACAAGAGTGTGCTCCAAGAGAAATACAATTGAACAAAAAAATATTCCAAGAAGTTAAAAGCCAAGACCAACTCGAGTTGATGCTGCCGAATTGTTTTATGCAAGTAAAGTCTAAAGAAGCTGCTTAAACCGATAGTTGAAAGGAACGGGTAAAGCAAGTCAAGAGTTTAGTGTCACCTTTTCAAGAGAAGATTGAACATGTTGAGCAGGTATAAACATCTGATTCTGACTTCCAAACACATTCCGCACACCCGACTTTTTCTTGTCCGTTTTGATGAATTGGTGGAAACTCAAGATGGAGCTCTCGATTACTCTGATCAAGTCCGTGGTAAGAACCACGAAATCCGAAGCCTCTTCTCCTCCTCTTCTTTTTTCCTCAGAAGCTGTAAAACACAAAATCGAGTCTTAAAAAGATAATCAAAAAATGGCATGCATGACTAACGAATAAAATGGTTCAACCCAATGATTTTAGAATATTCAGTAACAAACCAAACAGGTATGTCAATGGACAAGGACATCAGAAATTAAGCAAATTCTTCTAATCTACTTGAACAACTCTTCGGCAACAATTTTTTTTATAAGCGTAACCCGGAGAGTGAAGATTGGGGTGTATAATGTGAAAAATCAAAATATTTTCATATAAAGTATTGGAATTTTTCTCTGATTATCTAATTTTGCTTTTGGGCATAAGGATGTGATCTCATGCTAGCAATGTACTATTTTATCTTCAAGTATAAAAGAACATCTCACTCCAAACCAGACAAAGCACAGACACAATTATATATTTTTCTGTACATTTTCCATGGGAAACCTTTGAATGCGTATAGGATTAGCCATCTCAGGTTATAGAAGCCCGGCAGAACATTACTTGCGATTAACATTTAAGAGACATGTTGAACTCAAAAAACTTCTCCACAAAAATTGAACAATAATAACCATTGGGATTTTATATCAGCACCTTTACCTTGAATCTTGGGAACCTGGAGCAGTTTTATCAATGACTTTCTCGTCCGAGCATAGATTTCGGGCCTAGAGCCCGTTTCAAAGGGCTCATTCTCAATAAATCTCTGCAGTAGGACCTGAAACTGCTGAAACTGCTGGGCACTATGGTTATAAGAGGCAGTGGGGCTTTCGGGCTGGGAAGCAATTTTCTGACTCAACTGCGTGTACTGGCAGTGTAGTGCCTCCCAAGTCAAGCACACTTGGCCTACGTACGAAGTCTCAAGATCTTGATACGGGTCGTTCATTGGTTGCTGCAAGTGCTCGATTTCCTCTTCCGGCCCCTCGAACTTTCTCAAGGAGAGGCAACCAAAGGGAGATCCCAGCTTTTTAGACACAGGTCTGGGTGATGGAGTCGAAGGAACGTGACAGCCTGTACAGGCCCACAAGGCCACAATCCATACAATCATCACAAAAGGACACCAAATTTCTACTTTTTTTCATATTATCAAGATTTTTCAGATCACTCAGATGCTGTCATTATTGCTTTGCTTTTAAGTTTTAACTCCCAAAATGGCCCCTCAACACAAGAAAACTTTAGATAACAGCTCTCCGAAAACACAAAATCGCAATGTTATGTGCTATATAATTAGAAAATATAATAAATTTTATATTTTCATTATGTTTTTTATTACAAAAATAACCATTCTAAGTTTACCTTTCAGTTTCTAAAGGGTAACATGTACATATATCTACGAAGACCCATCATTTTACCATCTCATTCTCATTAAGATACGGAGCAACTACTGCTATTTCATTTCTTTTAGTAAAATATTTAATTTTTTGCTTAACTCGAAGGGTTAATCTTCGAAATATGCAACCCAAATTAACTTTATGCCGATAAAATTAGCCCCCAAAATTCTAAAAGCTGCATGCATATCAACAAATTACCAACTTCTAGAAGTTGCTGGGTGCTCAATCGGTCAAAAGTCAGCATGCGATCACAGTATACATCATACACAGCATCAAAACCGGACCAGAACTGGCGGCCCTCAGCCTCAACATCCCTCCACTCAGTGCTTGAACTCGTCTCTCCCTCTTCCTCATCCTCTTCCTCTTCGCCAGCTGGCGGGGAAGACTCCTCTGGTATCAACACCATAAAGCTGTTCCTTCTCAACTCCTTGAGCCTTCTCTTCACCTCATTCAAGATAAAATCGTCGTCATCATCTTCTTCTGTCCCAGCATTATCGGCTGGGTCCAAATTTACCGATTTGCCCCTTGGTAACAAATCGGTGCTTGTGTTCTTGGGCTCCTCTGGCTGATCCTGCCCCACATCCTTTGCATTGGGCTTCTGGGAATTTCTGAATTTCTTCAGCTTAAAAAAGTCCATTCGGGTTTTCACGAGTTCTTTTCACCTAAACTATGAACAGATTAGACAATAAAATACTTACCATCATCACTCTTTAAAGGATACTCAAAAATGAGAAGCAGTTATAACACAAACACCATAATGTTTTAACTTCCATTGAAGTAATTATCCCTTTCTTAAAGTAGCATGCTTTACATTCTCAGGAATATACAAACTGATGACAAGCAGAAGTATAATAGTAGATTTGGACTGCAAGTAGCCATCACAAGAGGGGGGAGAAAAATAAAACAAAATATATCAAGATCAAGATGGTCCCTTTTCTTTCTCCTTGTACAACTAATCTATCAGAAAAGAAAAAAATAAGAAAGAACAAATTGACACAAGAAATTAGCTACACATGAGGGAAATAAAAAAATTATCAAGCTGGGCCCTTTCCCCTCCTTGCGAAATTAATTAGAAGAAATAGTGATGGGGAAAGGAAAATTTGACAACAAATTGAGCTATGAGTTGTGAAAAACTACAACCCACTAAACAAACTGCATTTCTCTCCATTTCCTTTGTACACATCAAACAGCTTGATCCAGCGAACCTCCATCCAACCCATCTTCGGAGAAACCAAGAAAAAAACTTTTTTACTTCTTTTTTTTTGGAAAAAAAAAATAGATCAATCTTATTTAATTCTCCCTTAACCCTGAAAAAACAGAAAGTGACCAAGAAAATGACTTACATTAAAATGGTAATCCACCGGCGCCGGAGGTCGTCGCATGCCAAAAGAGGGACCGGCCAAGAAAACCCTAGGAGAGAGAATAAGAGTGATGGAGAGAGAGAGCAAACTAAGAAAAACTTGGGCTTTGATTTAGGACAACCACAGGTCACAAGGAGGGACGAAGGTTATTGGGAATCGAGAAAACGCAATAAATGCCTGATTTTGCCCAACGCTGGGCCGAACGAATCAATTTTCAAATTCCCATAACCAAGCTCCGATGTAATGCAATGGCGAGTGAAGATTATTCAACCATAACAAAAATGATAATTGTAAAATGAAGGGGAAATGCGCTCACATCACATGATGTTCGGCCATTGGGAGCTGCAGAGGTGATGGGTACCACTCAGCTGTGTGTGGCATTATTACTCGACTGACTGATTGAAATTTGAAAGAATATTTTTTTAAAATATTTTTTTTTTTAAAAAAAAGTACAAATAAGCAAAGAAAGTTAAGAAACAGGAAACATGGCATCGGGGAAAGAAAGGATCCCATCTTTAGCACAGAGCAGTGTCAGAGTACAAAATGTGACTATACAAACCCGCGAAAAATACCACCATTGTCGGGATTAATATTTTTTTTTTTTTTTT